CATGACTATTAAGGTGCCCCTAATGAGTTTAACAACAGCTCTTGTACCTTTTTAGTATTCTGTCAGCGGCAGCCTTTTCACCCAACAGCAGAGAGAGAGACAGCCCTAAGTATCAATCAGCTCAGATATAATATGGCAAATGGACAGCTCAGATTATTTAATGTGATATGGTAAACTGTAGACCTCAAATGGAGGCTTTATCCCTTCCAAAGCTCTAAAGAAACCTCTGGGCTCCAGAACACAGAACAAAAAATATTAAGATCTATGAAATCAAGAAGTTTGTTTCCTCCATAGCAGACACAAACCATGAGGCCCTTCACCATGTGTAGGTGAGAAACCTATATGACCTTTATACACCGACCAAAATCCTGCCAGCCAGTGCCTGACTATATACATATATATATATATATATATATATACACACATACATACGCACACACTGTATATGAACCATAGCATTTTTCAAAGAAGTAAAACATATTTGTCTTTTTACCCGTGTACCCTTAAAAAGAATGTGTTGTATTGCCAAGTGCTTCATTTTCCTAATCGTGATAGTGCACCTTACATTATTAATGGCGGTTTGATTTGCATGAAGTGTAAGCGCTAATGTTGTTGGGAATGAAATTTTCCACCACTGCCTCTCCACATGTACCTTATCCTCCTTCATCTCCTGTTTATTTCATTATCAGAACAATAACATTGCCTTTTAAGATGGGGTTTTAATTAGTTGCCTCGGTGGCTTCCTCCCCGGAGCTTGCGGAGCGCAAATTTCTAAAGTAGCATGAAGTGCTATCTAGCCAAATTAATCTTTGTGATTAATATCACTTACCTTTGTGATGCAAGAGTAGCAGGAATGTAGATAATGAGCAAGAAGAAGACAAGATGATGCTTAGTGGGGGATCGGCTTCATGCAAAGGGAAAGAATGATTTGTAGCTTTCTCCAAAGACAACTCGTACTAGCACAGAGTAAAATGCTAAAAAACAACAACTCTGTGTAAGGATTATAAATACAGAAAACTAACATAAAAGCTTAAAGTTTAGGCTCAAATGTATCTCTACACAAAATTGTTTTCATTTTGCTTTGTGAAGCACGACAGAGTCTTCTTAAAACAGAAGAATTTTAAATATGTCTCACTTCCATTACAAATCCCCCTCAAAAAGAGGTCTAATGATTATTTTAGGATAGTAAGCTGAGCCATGCAAATTATGTATTGCCGCTGTGGCCCATTGTTCATCCAGAACTGCTGATTTACTGTTACAGATACAATTTATTCCATACTGCATACAGCTGTTTTCATACATGTTGGCCATAATCACTGCAGTGTATATAAACCATGGCTCATATGCTTTGGATAGAGTGGAAAGTGTTAAAACTTCTGTCACATATTTATTGCTGTCCGGGTTTTTATGGGGGGGGGTTTCATTCTCTCTGTTGGTCCTGGGGACCAATTTCCTCAAACAGAAAGCAATGGGAAATGCAAAATCTTACAGTTGCCACTGGAACAGCAGGTGAGGGGACATCTTTAGTTGGGGACACTTATTCCAGAGGCAACTGTCTAAAAGAGGCTTTCCTCTCACTTTAGAGAGAGATTTCCTATCATTTCCTGCTGTGTCTCCAGAATAAGTAGTGAAGGGAAGTTGTTGAAAGTGCCTGCGGCACACCATACAGTGTTGTAACCAGTGTAGATAAGATAGGTGCTTGTAGTGACCACCACAGATAGTGCCATGCAGAACCTCAGAGTTGTGAAGATAGATCAGCAGCCCTCAAAATTGCAAGGGAAATACTGTTTATTGCAATATATAACGTCACATAGGTCAAAATAGCCAACGTTTCGGGGTCACGTAGGGTCCCTTCCTCAAGACAACACGGTGACTGCGTAGGTTCCCTTACTCAAGACGATACAGTGTCTGCGCAGTGTCCCTTCCTCAAGTGTGGACCCTAAATGTTGGCTATTTTGACCTATGTGATGTTGTTTGCAATACATTATATTTTCCTTGCATTTTGGAGTGCTGGTGACTTATCTTCACATTTCTAGTGAAGGGAAATCTCTCCTCCCAAAAGGAGGTTATAAATATACTCACAGTTTCTTCACATCTTAACCGGCAACAATCTCAGTTTTCTCAGTGATAATGTAATATTTGTTTTCGTTTTTTGCATGGCTCTCCTGTGTGCCCATCTGGTCCCACCAACGTATATTTAAATACAATATCTTAGGTGAAATTTGTACATGTTCATATATGGAATAGTAATAATAAACTATAATATCAGCACCATGATTATAATGATGAAGTGCAAGTGAAGTGATCAGAGTTCTTTAATAGAATAGCCACACTCATGTCCACTTATCACTAGTGCGACCCTCCACCTATGTGAGAAAAACACACCAGAAATAGTCACCTCCAAATTATAGGTTGTGTAATGCATTACGCAAGATATATTCTACATTGTACAATCCTGGGCCAATGGATTGATTGGACAGAAGATAGCGTCCCATATAACCTTAGACAATAAAATGAAGCAGAAAGCTGCATAACACAGCATTGCTTGATTCAATTGGATAAAAGCCAAACAACAAAGTTAATCTCACATTAGCTGAGTGTTTATATTCTGCACTAGACAATACCAGTATAGGATAATTCATGATTACAGTGTCAGTACTCATAATCTCTTACACTCTTCCCAAGACTTCCTGCTTTCCAGCTCCCTTGTCAACTCATCCCATACTCGCCTCCAGGACTTCTCTAGAGTCTCTCCAATCCTCTGGAACTCTTTACCACAACCTTTCCGTCTATCTCCCACCTTAACTGACTTTAGGCGTTCCCTAAAGACTCATCTCTTCAGGGAAGACTATCCCACCTCAACCTAACCACTCAACCATCACGTTCTCAAACAATTCATCCCCACACAGCTACCTCTTCATGTATAACTTACCCCTCCTCTTTTAGATTGTAAACCCCCAGGGGCAGGGCCCTCCTCACCATCTTGTCTTGAATTGTATTGTAATTGTAATGTCTTCCTTATATTGTAAAGCGCTGTGCAAACCGTTGGCGCTATATAAATACTATGTAATAATAATAATGTAGACCTGCAATAGATATTCATATCTACTAATTTTAAAGTAAAGCATGTATCTAAATGTAATCTGTGCATACAGAGAGCATTTATTATTATTATGTATTAACATTATTGCTGTTATTTTCAAGGTGTAGCTTGAAAAAGGTATCAAGTTAAAGTACATTTTTTACGGCAAGTAATAACTGGCTGCACCTCTCTGGAGACTCAGGAAAGCCTCAAAAAGCATTTTAATATTGTATTACTCTGTGCTGGGGATAACGATATGTCTTTCAACAGCATCACTAAATTATGTTGCTGCAACAGCTTCCGCTTCCTTTTCCTCAAACCCACATCCCCTTCCATAAATCACATCCTCTCCATTCTTTTAACCACTAGCCTCCATCTGCAGAATATGAATTACTCCAGGTATCACCTCTCTATATGAGATATGCAATGGTATCACAAACATACTGATGGGAGAATAAGCTTCTCTAGTGTCTTCTTAGAGCAAAAAGAGAATCTGTCATTTATGGCTATTTACCATTACTGTTGTAAGGACCAGTACATTTTAAACACAAGAGTTTATTAAAGAATTCACAAATAAGAAAATAAACCATCCAAATTCTACACAATTATAAACTATGATAACGGACATTGCAGGGAATAGTACCCTCCCTCTGTCTTTATTAATGCAGACTTTGCATGAAATGCAGTGTCTGCTTATCTGGGAACCCTGCCATTCCCTGATTTAAAAGTGTTAAGTAAAAGAAATAAGAAAACTGAAAGGAAAATACCTTAAAGAACGACTCCGGGTAAAAATATTATTAACCCTTGCAGTGGGGCTACCTCTGCACTGCAAGGGTAAAGTCCCTGTTTTTCCTAGGGACAAAAATAACAAAGTTATACCTGGAGTTCTGCTGTAAACCTGGCTTCTGGCCACTTCCTGTATGCCCCGGAGATGTTATTTGACTTTACTGTGATGTCCTGAGGATCATTCAAGAGACATTGTCACATTACCCATTCAGGGCAAAGTGACAGTGTCTATATAAAGGGAACCAAATACTCACCTTTCCATTATATATATATATATATATATATATATAAATTATTATTATCATTATTATTTCTTTTATATTTGGACGACGGCCGCTGTAAAAAAAAACAGAAGGGCACCTCCCTGAAATGAGACAGGAACCTCCCTGAAATAAGGTTTTGCAGGTTGGGATGTCTGCCTTTCTGATGCTTCCTTGCTACTCTTCTGCTGCCTCAACCAGTAAAAATATCTGGTGCTTCCTGGTATCGGGGAGCATGAGACTTCCTTCCATGTGACAGTGTTTAGGTCTTGCAGCCAATCGCTAGGCCTGAACACTGTCACATGACAGAGGGAATACTGTTACTGCTCCCCCTGGTGTCTGACATCAGCTGATACTGGGGACATTAGTGGCAGATGCAACAGAGGAAAGAGTGGCAGCATAGAGTTGGCAAGGTGATGGAGGGCCTTTGCACAGACACAGGCAAGATGACTGCCTTATACCCTATAAGTATAAGGCATATTAACCTTATAGGGTTAATATACCTATAAGATGTCAATATCCAGTAATATTCTGTGCATTTAGGAATACATGCAGATTTTGTAATTTATGGTTGGGTGCTGGGCTTTACTGGCAACAAATCCGCAATTTAGTCTGCAATAATATTTATGCAACATGTCTTATTCTATTTATTTTATAATAAAGAATGCAGGAAAAGAAGTGAGATTACACAGTAAGTTACAAAAATACCCAATAAATAAAGATAAAAAAAAATCAGTGAGTGAATCAGAACTTCAGTATCTCCTCATTAGTGAAATATTTGTGTGGACTAATCTGTGGACTAGTGGACTAAGTTTTTTTACTGCTGTATGGATTTTCTGTCTTATACAACTGTTGATTTTTTTTTTCTACAGTGGGAAGAGGTGAGCGGCTACGATGAAAACCTCAATACAATACGCACATACCAAGTGTGCAATGTTTTTGGACCCAACCAGAACAACTGGCTTCGCACTACCTTCATTCCTCGGAGGAATGCCCAGCGTGTCTACGTGGAGATGCGCTTTACTGTCCGGGACTGTAGTAGCCTCCCTAATGTGCCAGGCTCTTGCAAAGAAACTTTTAATTTATATTACTATGAGTCAGACTCCCATGTTCCCAATAAAGACTCTGCATTTTGGAATGATGCCCCATATCTTAAAGTTGATACCATAGCTGCTGATGAAAGCTTCTCACAGGTGGACTTTGGTGGGAGACTGATGAAAGTAAACACTGAAGTTCGTAGCTTTGGCCCATTGACTCGCAGTGGCTTCTATTTAGCATTCCAGGACTATGGAGCATGTATGTCACTCCTGTCTGTCCGTGTCTTCTTCAAAAAGTGCCCGTCTGTGGTTCAGAATTTTGCAGTCTTCCCGGAAACCATGACTGGGGCAGAGAGCACGTCACTGGTGATAGCAAGAGGAACATGTATCCCTAATGCAGAGGAAGTAGATGTACACATTAAACTGTACTGCAATGGTGATGGAGAATGGATGGTGCCCATCGGCAGATGTACCTGCAAAGCTGGATATGAACCTGAAAATCATACTGTCTGTAAAGGTAAGACCTTGTTTCTACCTACTGTGAACGCCTAATGGATGTAGTCTTTCTCTTTTTGTATCACATGTGCTTATTTACCTTTTTCTCCTTATTTACATGCACACCAAACTCTCCAGCAAAAGTGACAATTACAGGGGTTGGGAGAAACCATAAAACACTGAAGGGGGAGTTTACAATGGTCAGCTTTTATTTAAATGTTAAACTTTTCTTTTAAAACAAAACTGTTTCTGTAACTGCCTAAAAGTTTTATCTGGACTTGGGCTTTAATTTGCTTGCCACTTACATTTAGTCCATTCAAAACTACAGTACATGCGCATCTAGGAGTACCGCGTCCACAGTGTGACAACACTACTGTGATTTCGCTGCACAACAAACAGTGTTCTCATCCTGTTAAAGTAAGAGAAAAATCACTGGATCTACTGGCAGGATTGACACGTAATAAACTTATGTCACGGGACTCAAAACAAAAACTGCTGTATTAATGTTAGTGACAGACTGCATGATTAAATTTGATTGCGCTCATAGTTACATAGTGAATCAAAAGCCTTTTTTTCTTTTTTAATACATACATATGAATATGCATAAATATTATAATATCATTATATATTAATATTCATGATAGATTCAGGCTGTGTTTCACGCTTTGAAGTACTGCAGTGTTATTGTGCATATGACCACCCATAAACAGACAGATATCTCACTGACAGAGGAGGTGGAGAAGTATCTGCTGCCCTTGAGTTGCTGGAGCATGGGATCCTTCACCAATTCTTGCTGAGACTTTGTGTTTGTACATCATTTAGATTTTTCCCCTTTTACAGAGTGGAGGATCAAGCCCTGCCAACAAGGTGGACAGGACAGTGCACCAGTTAGCACCTCAATCATCTTAGTAGGGTTATTCACAAAAGAATGAAGAGTTTACAGAAGGCAGGAGAAGTGAACAATCTAGGACAACATAGCTGAAATAGAATTGAGCAGAATTGGAGAATTTTTGCAAATCAGCTATTTTGTCCTAGATTGTTCCCTTCTCCTGCCTTCTCCAAACGCTTCACCCTTTTGTGAATAATCCTACTAGTGTTGCTCACTATGGCCTCCTTGGATAGTCAAAAAGCCCCGTTCATTGCAAGCACTGCCTAAATTGCAACCTTTGTTTGTGATTAGCTGCCTACAAAGCTTTCCTCCCTCAAGGCAGGTCTATCTGCCTGAATGAATAAAATATCAGAATTCCCAAGGTTATCTCAGCAGTTATTACCAGGTTGGCTGAATAGACTTCTACATAAACAGATAGCCACAAGGAGGAGGATGTAAAAATCTGTATATGATATACAGCAGTGAAAATACTTCTCCTAGAATGAGATCCTAATAGGTTGGACTTGATGGACTAATGTCTTTATTCAACCTCAAATACTATGTAACTATGTAAAAATATAATACAACAAGCACAATATAAAAAAGTGAATGTCAAAGGGAAATTTTGTACAAATATTACAATAAAGTGGTTAGTAGTATTTGGTCACATTAAACATGACAAAAGGTGCCCAATATTGAGAATCGTGGAAAATCCCGCGATCGTACGATAATCGTGCAGTGTATGGAAGGCGTGCGACCGTTTCTACTGTATGGTCGCACGACTTTTGTATTTCGAGCATGTTGGAAAACCAGGCGAGAATCGTACGATTTTCGGCTGTTTTTTAGCATGATCGAGAGATAACTGCCAAACGGGCCGGTGTGCGCACGCGCACACTGCCCGTTCAGCATTGCAGTCATCGGAAGCCCGCCCCTCAGGGGGTCACGCTTGCGATGATCGCAAGTACGATCTGCCTTTCCAAGATGGGCAGATCGTACGTTTTTTAAATTACTTTACAACCCTTGCAAGACAAAAGTCTTGCGAGGGTTGTAAAGTGTATGGGCACCTTTAGTTATATTCTTACTTAATAAGCCTGATTGAACGTGTCAATTAACTAGCTATACTATGACCTGAAGAAATGAAAACCCTTTCAAGCAGCTCAGAATGTTCCCTTTAGTCTCCCTTCTTCTAGTCAGTTGAAAAACAACAATTCTGAATTGAGAAAGCTAGTCGGATGACCAGCGAAACCACTTCAAGAAAAATACAGCTAGTCTAGTGTCTTGAATTTTAAAATTTTTACCAAAACAAAACAGAAAATGGGGCTTTAACAGTATAATGTACTCACTAGAATGACATCCAAATGATTAATCTCCAATATTTTGATTGTTCTGGTATTATTTCCTTGAAGACAGGTAGTGCAGTTGCGCAGCATTGGATGTTTTCTTTCCTGCTGCTATAAAGGATTTTCATTGGTTGCTCTTCAGCCAATAGGATCCTTGATGACCAATCCGATTTCACAACTGACACAAAACAGACTGGCACTGGGTAGGTAAGGTAATGGACATTTTCTGGGGCATTGCTTTTTTATGGGAAGATTATACTGTTAATATTCTTTTTTAGTTAAAATATTAGTAAAATGGTTTAAAATACTGTATACTGTACCATCATCCCCCAAGGAGTTCTACAAAGTATGTGACACAAGCCAGGGTTTTTTTGGAGAGCCTCTTCAAATTATCTTAATTTTGGGCTCTTGTTAGTTTCTATTAAATTCATGTTCTCAAAGCCAGTAAATCAGCAGTATTCAGGAGTGTCCACTGGATCACATTATTTTGACTCCATTGAGAAACTGACTGAACAAGCAAGACCTCAGTGACCAAAGTCTTGTGTGTATGGATCAGCGTAAAGGTGGCCATACACTCTACAACCATCGCAAGACTTTAGTCTTGCGATGGTTGTACAGGGATTAAAAAAACGTACGATCTGCCTATCTTGGACAGGCAGATCGCACTCTCGATCATCGCAAGCCCGCCCCCCTGAGGGGCGGGCTTCCGATGACCGCAATGCTGAACGGGCAGTGTGCGCGTGCACACACCGGCCCGTTCGGCATTTGTCTTCCGAGCACCGTTCTAACCAGCCGAGAATCGCGATTCCCGGCTGGTTTTCGAACATGCTGGTTCGACAGAAGACGTGCGACCGTACAGTAGAAACGGTCGCACGTCTCCGGTCACACTGCTCGATTATCGTACGAAAAACCGATCGCATACGATTATCGTACGATAATCGTGCAGTGTATGGGCACCTTTAATTTATTCCAAAGGGAATAAATCAAGAAAAGCAGGCAATGGTATAAGAGGACTTATATAAGGCAATAGGACCTTGGATAAGTAATAAAATACCATCCATTTAGAAATCATTTGTTATCACTAACACTACACTGAATAGGTGAAATATGACTGGATAACATATTGGGGCATCTTGGATTATGAAATAAAGACTATTAAGATCACAGTCTGACAGCATAAAGAAACCGAAAAACTGGGACCTAGCTCTCCAAAGTTTTCATTTCAGACTTCCAGCTGCAAACTCAGCAGACTGCATTTTATGACTTTTTTTTTGGAGCCCTGTTATTTCTTTTTACATAATTACTTCAGCTGTAGAGTGTAGATGTGCAATAAATGTTTACATGTTGTAAAATTTTCCAGTACAACCTGCTGTTGTATTCAATGTCCATATTAGTGATGAATGTACCCAAAGCACAGCTCTCACAATATGTTCACCCTCATTCTGGACTGTAGAAAGTGAATGCTTAGAACAATTGCTTTTTAATCAGCCGCTACCTTGATTCCATCATACATGTGACTTTCAAAGGGATCCTCTCAAGATTGGATACCATAATGGAGTGCACAGCTCCTAGTCTTCTCCCACCTGTGTGCCATTGTCATTATTTGTCAGCTGCATGCTAGTTCCAGATAAATGAAGCTCAATGTACTCAGTTTTACTGGCCTGGCACTACTGTGTGGCTTAGTTAGAAGCATTGCATAATAATGCAGGGGTCTTCCTGGTATAGGTAGGGCATTGAAAACCTTGTGTGACCACCAGATGACCTGTCAATATCTAAAGATGCACATAGTGCCTGTGTCAGCATTGAAAGGATCCCTGATCAAGTGTAAAACTAATTTGAAACAGTTGGCTTTTGCCCCAAAGAAGAAAGCCAGTTTTACCAGCCATTGCTCCCTCCCCAGGAGACAGATTTCATGCCGGAGCAGAATGTGTGTAGACTGACATGCAAGGAGCATGTGTCCGGGCCTGTCTAGCCTTTTAGACAGGTACTCTGACCAGGCCGATCTCTGAGGGAAAAGTTCAGTCTGTGCTGAAGCAGGCTGGGGGTCTAAGCAGACCAGATGGTCAGAAGGCTGGATATTATTACTAACTGTATGATGATGAAAACACTCCTGCAAGGGTAACGCCTTTTGTTAAGAATTTTTGTGGACAAATAAAATTGGACCGGAGCCCTAAAACAAACTCGACATTTGGAGCCAAATATCACACTTGCTACTTGCATTAATGTATGCAATATGCATCCCTACTGCCACTGGTGTATTCTGGTTTGGGGCTGCCCTAGGCAAAGCGAAACTAGGGCACCCCCCCACACTAAATCTGAAGGATCTCAGGGGGGCTGTGCAGGATCTGTGGTGGGCTCTGCCATAGACCCCACAGAGCCCACCACAGATCCTGCAAAGCCCCCCTGAGACCCTGCAGACCCGTGCAGGATGTTTGGTGGGTTCTGCCCACCATAGAGCCAACCACAGATCGAGCACAGCCCACCTGAGACTCTCAGGTGGGCTGTGCAGAATTCATGCTGGGCTTTAGCAGCAGTGTGATTCTGTTACCTGCTGCTTGGTCCTCGGCCTCCTCCACTGCTGGACTGGTGCTGCAGGACCTGGTCTCCTCCGCAGCCGGAAGACTCTTAGGTGACCCGGCTTCCTACGGCGCCCTGGCCCCGCCCCATCCTGATCCGACGTCGTCCCGGCCTCGTCCTGCCCCCTCCTGCTGCTCCACCTCGCCCCCTCCTGCTGCTCTGCCTCTTCCGCCGCCTCCTCTGCCTACTATCGCCTCCTCCTCTGCGTCTTTTGACTCCGCCGCCTCCTCCACCCGA